AAACACACACACATATATATATATATATATATATATATATTCAAAGATGTTTTTTTTTTTTTTTACTAAAATTTAGTTCAATTTACTAGCAATTTCGTAGTAAAAATTGTTTCTACATTTTTTTCCCAGTGTATATCCGTAAGACCTCAGTGCCATTCACCACACAAAAACATTGCAGAATATGGTGACAATATTATCCCGGACGAGCCCCCACTTATTTTAACCTTATATGGACAGGCCCATAGAGGGGAAGATGAGGTGGGTTATTTAAATAGGTTCATATAGTGGTGATTATTATGGGGTATAAAAATATATGTGTTTGTGGGATAATGATTTGGGAAAAGGTTTGAGGAGAGCACCAAGAGCTTATAACTAAAGATAACACCAAGATTGATAAGCTATTATGATAATTTTTTAATGATTATTATAGAGTCCACACCAAAGGCCGATAACGTGCTGTTTATTATGAGCTAAAGCTGCAGTTTTTTTTTTGTCTGTTACTTTAAATTCTTAAGCTCTTTAAAATAGGATGAACTCTGATTGGCTGTCAATGTTTTTACCATTCATTAGCTCGAAAAATCTATCTGAAAGTGATTCCAACAATGATGTTCCTCTGTGCCGTTATCATTAGCTGTAGTTCCTTCACTGAAAAAGTTATACTTCGGACCAACTTAAATAAATACTCTAAATAATACTCTAATTTTACACAAATTGTAGAGTAGCATTTTACTACTAACTTCCTTAGTTAATCTGAGATGAACAATGAACAATTCTTCTAATGCCTTAATTAATCATAGTTGATGTTAATTTCAACATGTCCTAATACATACATATATATATATATATATATATATATATATATATATATATATATATTTAACCTTAAACCACATAAACTACGTTACCTGCTTGAGGGAAAGCGTTGCCAGGTTAGCATAACAAAACCCGCCCAATTGCTACTCAAAACTAGCCCAAACTATCCGCGTTTCGAGGGGGTCCCCCAGTAAAAATCACGTTCCGGGGGCTAAAATACACTTTATTGGGGTCGCTTCAACCTGCGGACATGAAAAACAACCCGCGGCAACAGTGATAAAGTAGCCCAATTCCACGGGAAAACCGCGGACTTGGCAACACTGTGACAGAAAGTAATGTCTACAACGGACACGACCGCTGTCACGGCGCGACCACAATGTGGCCATGTGGTTTATGTTTATTGTACCCCCCTACTGTTAGACAAAATTTACGCCCCTGGGTGGTAGTATCATGGTTTGGGCCTGTTTTGCTGCATCGGGGCCAGGACAGCTTGCCATCATTGATGGAACAATGAATTCTGAATTATACCAGCAAATTCTGAAGGAAAATGTCAGGACATCTGTCTGAGAACTGATTCTCAAGAGAAAGTGGGTCATGCAGCAAGACAACGACCCCAAGCACACAAGTCGTTCTACCACAGAATGGTCAAAGAAGAACAACGTTTATGTTTTGTAATGACTGAGTCAAAGTCCGGACCTGAATTTTAAATATATATGTCTATTCTACTTCTATTCTGCCAATAAATAATTACATGTAAATGGAAACTACATATTAAACACCACAACCACACAAGAAAGATATAGATAGGCATACAGAAAGAAAGAATACCTGTCTCCGTACTAGTAACACCTGTTGAGACGACAGTAGCACTGTTAGAAGCAGTGTTCTCTATAGAGGCGGATGAAGCTCCTGTCACTGAATAGTCTGATGTGGCCATCTGGTCAGTAGAAATGGAGGAGGACATGCTTACTGGATCCACAGATTGAGTTAGGCTTACAGATTCTGACATTGTATATGATGTTGCATCTGTTGTCAGAGTGTTTTCTGGAATAGCCGTTGTGGAAGTT